CCGAAGACATTCTGTTTTTTGTTTCTTCTGGGGGTTCTAGGATTTTCAAACAATTTTGAAAAAATTGTTTGATTTTATATAAAATGTACAAAAACTTGCTGAAATATCTCACTTGGTTTTATGTTCACTAATTCAATTTTCACCCAAAGCAATGTAAACATATCTCCATGTATACAGAAGAAATGGATGGAATGAAGAAAAAAAAAAGGAGAAAGGAAGACAAAGAAAAATCAGAATCTCTTATTAATTAGCTTAAAATTCATCAACACATGTAAAATGACTGCTTTTCTAGCCATACTGATTACTGTATTTGATACCCAATTTAATGAATTATCAGGCCGAAAATTCCATGACCTGATACAGCTTCCACTTCTTGTGAAAGGGTATATGCCCTCTTTCATAGTTATTGAAAAATATGTTAATGTACGTAGCTATTTGTTCAAAGTTTGCATTTCAAACATAATAAAGTTCTGGAATGCAAATCACCTCATTTGTTTTCATTACTTGAAATGCTGCTTGGGGAAATTTTTAGGCAAGTTACCAAAAGTATTACACCTCCCCCAAAACAGACCAGGCTTGTTACATGTTCCCAGCCTGCCGTGCTCTCATCTAACTTATCCCTATGCTAGGTTTTACCCTAAAGGGCTTGACAGGTTAAGGGTTGTGTGTTAATTTGCCTTTACTCTTTATAGGGCCAGGCATGTGCAGCACCTGCCCTGCACCTGACACTGTGCTAGGTGCTGATGGACGTGGTCCTGGCTTTCTGCTACTGAGTACAGTCGTGGGAAACGGGAGGACTGCAGGAGACAGCTAAGCCCAGGAAAGAGGGTAAGTCTGGGGAAGGGAATGCATCGATGTGGGATGACAGTGCACCACGTGCAATTCGCTAGAAGACATCCAACCTCTGGGAGATTTGCAGCAAACTCCTTCTGCCAGCAGTTTCCAAATACTCAGGGTGGCAGCACCTTTTCCGCCTTGGCTAACAAGTGTTTATGACTGTGGCAACAATCTGAATCCCTGAGTTACATTTTAGGACTATTTCAGAAAATTAATCAGAAGTTCCGGAGCAGGGAAAAAAAAAAAAAGTTGCCTGCCTTATATATGATCCTTGTTACCCACTTGTATTTTTAGGAGGGTGTAGATTTTTCATTTGGGGGTAAGGCAACGTACCTAGCTACCTACCTAAACATGTCATTTGCATTTTACACCTTGGGTTATTTCTTTATTCTTCATCCCCCAAGAGATAGGTTTTACTGCTGATTACACTGTACAGGAAAAAAAAAAAAAGAAAGAAAAGACGAAGTAAAAAGTAAACTCTACTTTTAAGGGCTTAACAGACCATGAATCCTCTCAGTTGCTTTTCAATTTCTGTGCACTGAGACTGAGTTTGAATTCACTGTCACCACAGTTGAGTCAAAAAGTTTCTTTAAAAAGGGTAAATTCAACTTTGGTTATAAAAAACAAATGTACCGGGGCAGCAAAATATGTGGGAAAGAGAGTGGGGAAAATATTGTCTGAACTTCAGTAGAATCTGACGAATTCTCAGGAACACTGGGGAAATTTGTCGCCAATTGTCAGGACTTCACCCAACTTTCTAGAAACACCTGTAGTACTAGAGATGGTGCTCTGGTTTCCTCTAAATTTCAAAGAATATAACACCTACTAGAAGCCAGATTCTCAGAGAGCACTCGAGAAATTTTAGATTGACTCAGCGAAGTGTCACACGAACAGGTAGCCCATGTACTCTCTAAGACACTGAGTGTGTTTTTTTTTCTTTTCTTTTTTTGGCCGCACTGGGTCTTCGTTGCTGCACGTGGGCTTTCTCTAGTTGTGGGGAGCAGGGCTACTCTTCTTTGCGGTGCACGGGCTTCTCATTGCAGTGGCTTCTCTTGTTGCAGAGCACAGGCTCTAGGCACGAGGGCTTCAGTAACTGTGGCCCGTGGGCTCAGTAGTTGTGGCTCACGGGCTCAGTAGTTGTGGCTCATGGGCTCTAGAGCGCAGGCCCAGTAGTTGTGGCGCACGGGCTTAGTTGCTCCACAGCACGTGGAATCTTCCCGGATCAGGGCTCAAACCCGTGTCCCCTGCATTGGCAGGTGGATTCTTAACCCCTGCACCACCAGGGAAGCCTGAGCGTGCATTTCTGACAATCTTAAGTAGGAAACGCATGTTTTTTGTTGTGTTTTTTTTTTTTGGCGGTACGCGGGCCTCTCACTGTTGTGGCCTCTCCCGTTGCGGAGCACAGGCTCCGGACGCACAGGCTCAGCAGCCACGGCTCACAGGCGCAGCCACTCCACAGCATGTGGGATCTTCCCAGACCGGGGCACGAACCCGTTTCCCCTGCATCGGCAGGCAGACTCTCAACCACTGCGCCACCAGGGAAGCCCAGAATCCCATGTTTGCTGCATTCTGCTGAATTTGAATCTTATTTTAACAATGTAACGGTTTTCTGCTGGATTTTAATTGGTAGCCATGAAAAGAATGAATTGAACATGTCATTCGGATATATTTTTAAGGTAGTGAAATAGCCTACTGCACAATGAAATATTACCCAGTTGACATCTATATAGCAGTGTATCTTTGGATTACAGAGATGACCCCAAGAGATTCAAGTTGTTTGTCCAGTAAAGGTGATTGCTATGCCTGGAACCAGGAATATTAAGGCGACACGAGCAAAGGCTGAAGGTGTTTTCAGGGAACAAGCAGAGCAAACAGAATTATAGAAAATACGGGATCAATTGTCAAAACTCCAGGAATACTCAACCTTGTATGGAATTTATCTGGCCCACAAAGAATTGTCATTCTTGGTAAAATTTATACTGCCACTTGAGTATCTCAGGTTGCCTATAAGACAACCTTTTTCGGTCAAAGTTATCATCCTGTTTAAGAGAAAATATCACAATAAGATGAGGAAAAATAGTGTATGGGGAAAAATTAATCATTGAAAAATTTTTGAATGATCAAATGAAAATTTGAAAAATAATTATTGTCTATTCAACAGTTATAAAAGCAGAACACATAGCAAATTCTAGGGGAGACTGCTTGGTTGTGTAAAATATTCAATTATCTCCTCACTGAGACATTCAATAGTTTATTACTTCAACAATTTAATTGCAAAGGACAGACATTTATTATTTTTACAGGTATGGTTATAACTTACTACTTACTCTGCCAGGCAGTAAAAGTCACTCAGGAATATCAATGTTACATTTTTTTCTGACCTAGAATTCTTCCTGTTAATGACGATTACTGCAGAGTTAGAACATATGTGATATTATTTCCGGAAATGCTGACATTTCAAAGACATCACCTCCTAAACTCGAAGAGGAAGCTATCTTTGTTAACGATTTTTTATTTTTGCTTCTCAGGCTTAGTAAATTACTAATGCTTCCCTTTAATTCCTTAACATTCTCACTTATTGAAACCTTTAAAAATACAAGAATACTTGCTTTTATTGTCACTGTTGTTTTAAAAATTCTTTTTCTACATGGTGTGAAATCATCAGAAAGAAACAGGATTATTTTTATCAAAAGCGGCATAACTCTGATTAGTAATACTTAAGTTTGTTTGAAAAAGGAGTTAAATGCTTTGTATGCTGTTTCTGTTTCCTATGTTGTGACATTTTACAAATTTCATTAGCAAGTTAAACAGTGATAACAGTAAGTTAAGTTGTAAAAGTGAAGAAAGTGTGGTTTTTGTACTTCCTGAACGTATCCATTTAGCCAGGTTCTATCTTCTGTGGTTCTACCAGAATTATGTTTGGAAAACACCAAACCATTTAAATAAATCTTTAAATTGAAAATCATGTCATTTAAATTAGTACAGAACAAAGGTTTTATGGTTGGAAGATCTAAGATTGGGTCTACGTTCCATGATTTACCAGACACGTGATTTCTGGCAAATTATTTAACTTTTTAGACACCTTTTCACCCTTGTAAACTGGATAATAACCACACACCATTTCACTGGTGGGGAGGCGTGGGAGGTAGCTCATGAGAGAGAACAGGAAGAAATGCTTTGTAAAAGCGAAGGCAGCACACAGCAGGTGGGATGTTACTTTTGTTCTTTAAGTTCATATGAAAAGTGCCTTTCGAAATTTTTGGAGGAAACACTCAAGATTTCTAATCTACAGTTCCCAACAAGAGATCCTCCACTCTTTTCTTTCACGTGTAAAAAAAAAAGTTGCTGAAATGACCTAACCACTTTTTCAGATGTCCACACTTGAGTTATGCTAACTTTTCTACTCGAGATTCCTTTTCATTGTCCGCTTATTTCAAATAAATAGAAATATTGTTTTTATCTTTTCCAGGCCTATTAACTACGTCTTCATTTGCTTTTATAGCCTGTTCCTTTCTGGCTTCATCAAAAAATTCAGCCTCTTCACAATTCAAAGTACCACACACATTCTAGGTTTGTGATACAAATTTTCTCTTTCCCACATTAAAATTGTTTTAGATTTAAGTTTCTTGTCATGTTGGCTCATATTTAAATACTTATTAATGAAACTGGCAATGGTATTTACTTTCAATTTGATTAACTCTGCCTAGAACTTTTCCTGTTCAAAGATCTGCTCTGGTCTCCCGCTGAATAGCAATCCTCTCCTATTTGCTTTCTTCTCTTCCGGCTTTGCATGGCTGTGTGCAAGGCCACCAGAGATGCCTGTGCTCACTTGTGTGTGTGTCAAGAACTCTAGCTCATCCTTTAGGACTCAATTCTGAAGTCCCTTTGCTCCTACTGTGCCCCATAAACATCTTTATGGGAGCAGCTTTTAGACTGGAATTACAATTATCGAGTTACACTTCAGTCTGCCCCTCAGATTACGGATCCACACTTGGCAAGACAAAGCCCAAGATTTCTTCATAGTATTTCTAACACGTAACAGAAAGTTCATAAACGTTCGTTAAATGGCAAAATGACTATATTTTTCTTTAGAAAGGAGCTGCCAGTTTTTCTTTAAAATGGCAACAGGTGGCAATTTGGATTTCTGTCTCTGTTTTCTGTAGGACATCATCATCATGGCACCTGCATCACTGATTCTTTTGGGGGCCACAGTGATACTGCAAGTAGACTTACTTCCTGATAAAAAATGTAAGCACCGTCTATTAAATTCAATAATATTTCTTTTTGAGAAAAAGTACATTACAAAGAGGATAGCATTATTTTCTCCTAAATAATAATTAACTGGGAAATTACGCTTTTTTAAAAAGGGATGGAACATTTATTCTTATCAGAATACAAACTCTTTAAACATGCTCTATTTTAAGAAAGCAACGTTGGCTGAAATGCACATTTTATGCTGCAGTTTACCCACACTTCATATTCCAAGTGTGGGTAAACGGGCACTCAGAATAAAGCTGCAGCTGATGGCCGTGTTTGAAACGTCTTCCCAGGCAAGGGAACGGTTCCAAGTCCTCACAACGAAACTTGTTCATCAATGGGTTTAAGAAAAAAAGAACTGCCACATGGTTCCCCCATCAGCACTGTCTAAGAGACCTTGCTATGGCCATGACAATGTTCTGTATCTGCACTGTCCAGTGATAAGTGACTATCGAGCACTTGAAATATGGCTCATGCAATGAAGACAATGAACATTTGATTTTATTTAAATAAAACAGCCACATGTGGCCAGTGGCTACCGTAACGGGCAGTGCAGTAGACAGAGCCTCAGAATACCGTATGTGGCAGGTGTGGAAGCAGAGTCAGGGAAGCCTACTGAATATTAAAGGTCACTGGAAACATCCTCACATGTAGTAAAGGAGGTTTCATAATTGTACAATATTGTAACTTTAGCAAAAATTATAAAGTTGTATAAACATATGCCCAAGAAAAAAGATAATGAATGTATCACATGTTAATGTCACTCTCGGTGATACAAGCGTGGGTAAATTTTTCTTTTCTTTTTTGATCATTTGTGCTTTCCAAGGTTTCTAAAAAGAACAGGCATTGACTTTGTAATTTAAATGAAACCTTTTATTGTGTGAAAGCTTTTA